AGCAACTAATTATCGAAAGGTCCATACTAAGGCAACCCAGATAGGTCACGCAGGGTGTGAAAAATCCACACCGCTGGTTGACACAGTTAAGGCCACCCTAACTGCCCACAGTGCTAGGTTGCCAGATCTCTGTCTTGACATTTAAAGCGCTTCATGGGCACTACCAGACAGATTGCTACCACGCTGGAAGAAGTACTCACACGCCCCACCCCCGTGGAGAGCAACCCATGTTACAGCTAAGCCACCCCCTCGCTTTCCAGGAGGTGCACTGTGAGCTGTGCTAGCTGGCTCTGGGGCCACTAGTTTAACAGGCAGTGGGCTAGGCTAAAGATCTGACATCAATTGAAAATTAGGCCTCTTAGAGAGCTGTCCATCACAACGGGGGCGGGGCTGACATACTAGGCCCACCTCCCAGGCTATTTTGCAGGGGGGCCATATTTTCAGTAATTAAACTGGGAAGGACTGGGGGAGAGAAAGAGAGGTTACAAGGAAGTCTTTTGCTGGGTGAGGTGAGAAACTTTCAAACTGAAAAACAATACAGTAAACAGAAGGGTGGGAGAAACTTTAAAAAAAAATCCTTCTGTAATGCTCCTCGTTCCTTCATTAATGTCTTGTTTTGCTCTACTGGTTTCACTCAGCCAATCGCAGTCCAGCCTCCCTGCACTCAACACTGCCGCCTCGCAGGTCATAGCTTCCCCCACCACCTCAGTGTCCTCCTGCTAAAGCTGATTATTCTGTCTCCCTAACCACTCCACAGCTCAGGCCCACCCTCTGCAGGGCTGGTTCCTCTAACTCAGAAAACCTAGCCCTAGACTCCGAATTTGTCCCATGTATTTGCTACTCACTGTCAGCAGGCCTAGCACTCACCCTTTAGGCCTAGAGCAGCAGAAGACTCAGGAGAAGCAGTAGTTTCATGTCTACATTTGGGGGAGGGGCAAGCAGAAGTGCCTTAAGAGTTATTGGGGCCCTGGGCACAAAGAACATTCCTCCCCCACACACACAATGCCCTACCCCCAAGGCCCCTGCCCTTGCCAGAAGCCAGGCATTGGTAAGAGCTGCCCAGGGAGCTGGGGCTGCTGTGGGGAGCCGTGCGCCGGGTAGTGCACCCTGGGGGGGCGGGGGCCTGCGCTTGGGCACCCAGAGGAGCTGGAGGGCCCTGAGCAGCTCTTACCAACCACAGGCGAGGGCTGTGGTCCCCAAACTGTAGTGCATACCACCCTACGGGCGGCATGGGAGAATGCAGTGGAGCCAGGGTTGGGCCGGAAGCGCCACCCAGCTCTGGTATGCCCCCAGCTCCACTCTGGCCCCGGCTCTGCACCGGGCCGCAGCTCCACTCCTGGCCACGACCCCAGCTGCATCGCTCGCACTGACTTTTGCCCCCAGCTCTTGCTCCCTTCTCTGCCCCCCCCCCTGGCCTCAGCCCCAGGGGGGCACAGACTGGGCGGGGGGGAGGGCAATGACTTGGGACCCCTTGCCTAGGCTGACCATTCATCTCGTTTTGGCCCCAGACATCCTGGGCATTTGTTCTTGTCAACGGATCTCCAGGTAGCAAGAGCAAATAGGACATATGCTCCGTTTTGCCAAATAGGGGCTGGGGATGACGGCCGGTGCTCAGGCCAGCTCTGCATTGGGGGCGGGGGGGGCAGCTTGGGCCACCTCAGCGCAGTTGGAGGAGATGTGTGAGATTTGGGATAGCTCTGTGTGTGGGGCGGGAGGGTGGGGGTGAGAGGTGCGTGTGGAGGGGCAGGCACAGAAAACCAGCTGCCCACAAGTGGGGTGGGAGGGAAGGGAGAGGGGCTTGACTACCTTTGCCTGGGGGAGGGCAGGGAGATTACACACTCCCTCCCACAGCTCTATCTTCTGCTTGCTGGGAGCTGCCGGGGGGAGGGGGAAGGGAAGGGGAGGGCCTTCTGCCCGTGGTGGCTGGAGACCTTCCCCACCACCACCTGCAGAGGCTGGGCTGCTGTAGGAGGGTCCTCCGCTGCTGCCACCAGCTGGGCTGCTACGGTGCCTCAATGTCACTGAGGTCTCTGGACGTCACGGATTCTGTGACATAATTGGAGCCTTACTTACAAAATGTTTTAAGGGTGGATACTACCACAACAATGCAGTTTAGTTTTGGAGACCAATTCCCTCAGCACTCAGAAAGCCTAAAATTAGAAATGTTACTTTCACATGTCACAATGGTGGAGGACACCATTTTTTCCATCAAAAAAGCACTTTCTGTAATTATACACTGGTTGGTGCTTCCGAAAACCTTTGCAGGGTTTAGGGCTGAGTGGAGCAATGCCTAAAAACCTTTAACAATCTGGGCTCAAGTACCTCAGGTTTGGCAGTTATGGAGGCCTACAGCAGCGTTTTTAATGCAATTCCAAGACATCCACATGAAATAATTCAAAACATTATGCCACCTAATACATGTTAAACCCAATCCAGCAAAGCACTTAAACTTAAGTACAAGTTTAAGTACATGGGCATTTTCAGTAATGTCAACAGAACTATTCACATGCTTAATGATAAAAGACGCTCAATTTTAATGGAAGTTGGATTGGGTCTATACTGAACTGTCCCTCCAGCTTTAATGACATGAGAAGTCCCATGGGATGCTCAGTACCAGTGTGATTAAATTTAGGTACACGTCCAGTCATTTAGGAGCTATGGAGTTCTACAATTAAAGTGCCCGCTCATCTGTGGCAGAAGTCCCAGTGGAGTCAATTAACGTTATAGGTCTTGTAGGTCAGCCTATGTTTGCTGCACTGCTTGTACAATGATGGAATCCAAATAATTGTTTTTATGCACTACGTGATGGTCAGAAACTGTGCTTAATGTGTGCATGTGTACTGGTAAAATGAAAACTAGGCTAATAATTCAATGAGGTTTGAGACTAGGCATTTAAAAAAAATATAATCCAAGAAACATGATTACCCTCATTTGACATCCACTCCTGGAAACAAAACATACTAAACCAACACCAAAGTATTAATGGGAGAAGATAACCAAAATACTGAAACACCTATGGATATTTTCTTAAATAAGGAGCTCATAGAACTGCCACAAAGTTCATTCAAAAGTGCATGGTCTCAGATTCAGAGCAACATAAATTACAACAATCTCTACTTTAATTGTTGGCATTCATTGAGCATTGGCCTGCTAAACCCAGAGTTGTGAGTTCAATCCTTGAGGGGGCCATTTAGGGAACTGGGGTAAAAATCTGTCTGGGGATCGGTCCTGCTTTGAGCAGGGGGTTGGACTAGATGACCTCCTGAGGTCCCTTCCAACCCTGATATTCTATAATTTAAAAGTTAAAGAAATGACAGAGCTATAGAAGTAGTGTAGTAGTAGAAGTTTTTTCTCTACTGCAATCTTAACTCAAAGACAATTTGGATTTAAGATTTCACTTTTAGATCTATAATGTGGACAATTTTGGGTACAATTAAAAAAAACCCAGCGAAATAGAAGAAAAATTCTCAAATATTAAGGATAGGAAAACAGTGGATTTGCATGAATGTTTAAAAAAAACCTCTGCATTTGAGGTTAAATACACTAGCTCTCATCAACATGATAGATTGTGGCAACAATACGCGGATTACTGAGTAACTTCATTCATATTTTTAATACTTATTTTTACAATTTACAAGAGTGTGGAGGTGTAACAGCATCCACTAAAGCCCAAATTTATGTACCTAATTTGTGTGTGCAAATGACTAGTTACGTTCAATTGCTAATTTGAGCACAAAATAAGGCTCTAATCCTGCAAACCCTTATACCCATGCATAACTTTACACATGTGGGTAGTTTAATTCAATGGGTTGTGCCTAAGCATTTGCAAGATTGAGGACCTAAGTATGTAATTACTCATCATATTTGTGAAAATTTAAACAAACAAAAATCAAGGAAATTTAAAAGGAGAGCTTCCATTTGATTGTTAATTCACCTTCTTGTGCCTACACAAGTTCAAGATGTTATTAACATGTACCAGATTAGTTAGCCAATATATGTCAAATTAAAAGGAGGTTCAATTATAAGACAAAATTTGATGCATGAGTGAATGCAAAAAACTGTACATTTATTAACCAACTGTGTAAATTAAAAACAGCAACTTTTTTTTAAAAGTACTCTATGGCTAAGACTTACAGACCAAGTTTGTCTCAAAGTGAACATAAAAAACAAGAGTTTACAATGCAAACACTAACAACCTTATATGAGAGAGAGGTAATAGCAGGCACTGCTATACTATATTATTAATTCAGTAATTAGAGGGCCAGATTCTGATCTAATTTACAGCTAATGCACGTTTACACAAGTGTAATTCAGATCAGATTCTAGCTCTACATTTATGCCATAGTGAAGTGATATATAGGAGTCATAATAAACAGAAGTCCCCTTTTATATAAATACTTCATAAATAAAGTATGAAGAGATACAAATATTCATACTTACAACAGTAGCTTAACAGTCTATTTTAGAAGCAAACACTAAAATAATACTTCATTAAAAATATGCCTTAGTTGAAATGAGCAGAGTAAATTTAAACAGTGTTGCATTATCTATTCAGTGATGCTACACACCTCAGCAACAATTTGTGTACATCTTGAAGCCTGTAGACCTTTAGTAATGAAAGTAAGTAGAAATTTTTTATGCAAAAAAATAAATAAATAAAAATTGTTAAATACCCAATGTTTGGTACAAATGCTTCATATGCAGATAAGTTACTTTTTATACATTTGTTTAGAAAAATACATGAGATATTTCTACTTTCAACTGGCTAAAAATAAGGATCAGATTATGTATATTCTTGTGTTTTTAAAGGAAGGTTTTTAAAATTACCATCAAGCTGCTATAGTAACCCATTAGGGACTCAATCGCTTACTTCTTACACAAGCAAAATTCCCATTCAAGGAGAACAGTGAGTGCACAAGGACTGCAAGACCGGGTCCTAACTTTGTACAAATGACCAGTTGGTCCATGGCACAAGTGACATCATACCCCCCCCTTCTGAAACCATCTTCAAGATTTAAAATCTGCAGGTTTATTAAACTATCAGACCATCACACTTTTTAGAAAAGAGATACACTTACAAATGCAGATGCCTATCTGTTAAACCATCATTTGTTCCAAAAAAATGCACATTCAAACTGTGAAGTCATTAGGAAAATACTCTTGCAAATAAACTATATAAAGATAAAATACACTTCAAAGTTAGTTTTTACATTATTCTATAAAGTGCAGAAAAATCCTTCTAAAAGGGAAATAACTACTCCCTATAACAATAATATAATTACAGCAGCTTTTGCATAGTATTACTTATAGAAAGTTGAATACTGCAGTTTCTTCAGGAAGAAGAGGATGGAAGAGTCTCTTCCAATTCAGGTCTTTTCTTTGAAACTGATCTGTTTTCTTCAGGAATGGTTGCTGGGGCCAAGTGTCCATTGAGAGCACTTCTGGAACAGTGAGCAGGTCCTGGTAAGATATTGATTAGTATTTAAACTGTGCCTCAATTCAATCTGTTAACCATTCTGCTTGCAAATATTTCACATAGACAACATTTTTTTAAACTATTGGATACAATATTTACATGCTCTCTATGGTCTGCATTGAATTATTCTAGTCTATGTCAATGCCTGGGGTAATGGATGAGTAATGTTAAAAGCTTCTGAGAACTACAGATAATCATACTATGCAATACACAACAAAGAGTGTGTGTTAAGAATTAGTGCAGCAATAATCCTTTCACTGAAAAACTCTATTGGGACACTTCAGCCATTAATAAAGGTGTTTGCTTTGTTAAAGGAACCCAGTCTACCGCACATTATACCAGAAAGGATGTTTGTCTACCTGATCAGTAGATGGCTCATTAATAATAGATTTAAACACATGGTAAATCAGTCAGAGACTAGTTTCTGCATTTGAAAAATGACACTTTTTCATCAGATATTTAAGCAGCTGATGAGCACAAAGAGTGCTGTTCGCCATGTCAGTCAGAATACAGGGTAATAATGGTACACTATTCAAAAGTCACTCTACTTAACAAGATTATGCTAGGTGACTAATGCATATTAAGGTTACCGGAAGACATCATAGAGCCTCTGGTAAGTTCTCCATTTCAAATGAAACATCTGTTCCACTTTGGCATTTATCTAGCACCTGGAGAGGTGTCAGAGGTGGTCTATCACAGAAAAGTGGGCTGCTAACAGGTCTTTTTATTTCTATATATAGATGCACTGCTTGGAAAGAAAGTCAGGAGCACTCTTTGCTTGGTCTTCCCCAGCCCCATCCTTCTTGGTAGCTTAAATCTTACCCAGTAGTTGGCAGTAAGAAAGTACATTTTATCTTTGAAACTGTGCAAGTCTGATACAGAATCAGTGAGCCAGAATAAACATGGAACTCCACAATGCCCTTTTCCAGTCATTTTTCAAACAAGAACTGCTCTTGAAAGTGTGTAAACACTTTGTCATTAATAAAATGGAAGGGATACAGAATCCCCTACTGAAAGTTTGTTATTTTCAATGCCACCTACTGGGGAAAGGAAGGAACTGAATCAACTCTAGGAAGATGGAGCCCTTAAAGTGGAAGACAGAACAGGGACTCTTCTGTCTAACATGGCAAAAGACAAAAACTACATTAGTGAAAAAGCTAGAAATTGGAGCAATTCTACAAGGAACAAGAACAGACTGGGATTACACAAAATAACATGACTGATCTGACCACAGCTGTCATGAGAGAAGACAGACTGGATCATCCATGGGAAGAGGAACCAGACCATGGTCACATAGGGTGGAATTCACCTTTGTTCAAAAGGACACACAAGGTGTAAGCACCAATTAGGGCTTAAGTGGGACTTGAGCAGTGCATAGGCCTTGTGTTGACTTTCTGCACAAGGGCTAAGTTACCCTCCAAGAGAGGAGAGGCTGGCCCCAAACTGGGTCCCTCTTGAAAGTGACAAACCACAGTTAATCAAGAAGAAAGCAGGCCACAGCCTTCCTGATAAAGAGAGAATAGGGTAAAAACAATTGGGAGTTTCATGGGAATACCATAAAGAGACCTTACCTCGGCATATTTACGCAATGGGATCTAGTTATCATGGGATCATTGACACAGAGTATAATAGTCCTAGATTGTTGTTTTGAATTATTGACCATGCTGAGTTGTTTCAGAAGAGTGTTGCTCTGTGTATGGGGTGGGTAGGCACTGGTATAAACTGTTCTTTACTAATACACTGGGTTGTCACATTCTCCTCTCAGTTCTACCAGTGTAACTCCATTCAATGGAAATTAGCTCCACTCGATGGGACTGCCCTGGTGTAACTGAAACAAGAATCTGACTCACTATAATGGTTAGACTGAAAAGAACTGATCAACATTCTGCATAGGTTTCCAAAATGTTAGTTTATAAATGAAAATGTGTAGTTCAAATGTTTGTTGTTCATGTAATCCTTATGTAGAGCCCAGTTCTGCCAGATTTACTCACCTTGCGTAGTACCTTACTTTACAAATAGTACCATGGATTTCAGTGGGACTACACAAGATCTGAGATACCAGTCGAGGTGAGTAAAGGGTGGCAAAGTCAGTCCCGTAGTGAATACATCAGCACTTTTAATTCATTACATAGGAATCCTACAAGCAACTTTATTGTTTAATGCAATGGCTCTGATTACATACAAAGATTGTAATTTTAGGTATTCTCCTTGCATTGGTGTTAGCAGTACAACAATTGTGCTAAATACGGTAACAAATTAAACAGAAGTACACACAGTAAAACTCTCTCTCTTCCAACTTACTCTCTGTATCTTCAAGGGGAATATCATTATAGGATTCTGTATCGGAGTATGTTCTTCTGCGTCGTTGGGATAACCGGTGGAGTGAAGAAATTGGTTCTTTTGTGGCGTTACTACTGCAAATTAAATAGGATTTATTAGTTTTACAAACTTATAACAAACATCTAGCCAGTCTATTAGCTTTTAATTTAAGATATATCTTTTGGTATTTATAGTGCTCTTATTAGATCTATCTTAAAGATAGTAAAGAGCAATACTGAGGAGTAAGCTGAAAGGAACTCCATGTGAACAGAACACGGTTAGCCTGTACAGATTTTGAAATCTGAAAAATGTGATCAGAATATAATTCTTGAAAATAGAAAAATTCAAATTGTGCAAGAATGAATCATCAAAAATCTTAGTGTTTCAGGCCCCGATCCTGCAAACTCTAATGTGTATAAGCAGGGCCGGCTCTACCTTTTTTGCCGCCCCAAGCAGCGAAGGAAAAAAAAAAGCTGCCGCCGTCATGCCACCGCTGCTGAGGGAATCGCCAGAGGAGCTGCTGCCGGTGTGCCGCCGAAAGCCGCCGCAGTGCCGCCCCTAAGACCGCCCGGGAAGCTGCCCTTTTCCGTTTGCCACCCCAGGCACATGCTTGCTAGGCTGGTGCCTAGAGCCGGCCCTGTGTATGAGTGACTTTATGCAAGTACAGTTGTCCCACTGAAACTACTTATTTGAGTAAAGGTACTCACACACATAAGCATTTGCAGGATGAAGGCCTTAGATAATACTTCCATTATTTGCCATAAGATTTGATTAAACAACTTGGATAAGTTATAATAGCAATTCTCTCTGATAAATGGTCATTTTAAATGATACAATTCTACCAAAAACCATAGAAAGATTATGTACGAATTTCTATTATAATGATTATAACAAACAACAGTTGGATTTACTTATTTATTTTGCCAATGTTGAAGTCTCTCCTAGATAATATTTTTATATTTCTTTTTAAAACTAAACTAAAAATATATCAAATTTGGAATATTACTCAGAATAAAAATGGAAACAAACTTTACTAGTATATTTTTGACTTGTATGTAAGTTGCAACATTAGTGTCTTAATTTTGGATTTGCAAAACTATTGATATTAGATTGTTACTTTCTAAATTTTAAACCATTTGCCAACCCTGCAAATCCTCTGCATAGTGACTTCAGCTGATATTTCCCTACTGGGGGGCTTGCTGGATTGGTCCAATGAGGTGCTTTCAGAAAGTAAATTAGCCTACTTAACAGCAATTTTTATTCTTACCTCCCTGAACTGTATGTACCAGGATGGCTAATGGAGCGTTTCATCTAGAAAATGAAAGAAACAAGTTTTAAACTCTTTATCATGACTTATAAAATGCGTATACACAGCCATATACTCTATTTATACTTCTCAGAGGGAGAAGGTGATTTTTTAAAATTATTATTTAAAACAAAAATCAACCACAATTAAGGAATCTTATTTAGCTATTTGAAAGAGGATAGATTGCTAGTAATGCAGGAATTTTTAAAGCACTAATAAAAGAGAACTAGTTTACTACCCAAAAATATTACCTGGGATATATACATCTCATTCTCTCTTGTCTCAAAAATTACTCAAATTTCTACTGGATCATTGGTAGAATCCACAGAAACCTCAAAACATTTTTAACTAATGCCAGATTCAAGTCTACATTATACAAAAGGATTAATCCAAGGGCTAAATTTTGCCATCTGGTATGCACACAGGGAGCCCTCTGATTTCAATGAGAACCCTCTAAATGTGCCCCAGAGAATAATTTGACCCAAATATTGATCAATAAGAGTCGCTTGGGTGGATGGGAGGAAAGGGAGGAGATCATCAGATACAGATAAATGAAAGGGAAAGACAGGGAGGAAAAAAACCCTAGAACAGAGTAGATCTGAGAATCCACATATATGAAATAAAATTTGACAAAGCCTCACTTATCCCAACTCCTCAACAGGAAAATAAATAAATAAATAAACAAATTAAGAATTCCATAAAGTATTTTAATCTTGCACATTATTTAACAAAAACAAACTTGTCAGCTAACGGCATATTTGATCAACCAGGATATTGTTTAAAAAGAGACATATTAACACTGGGAATCTGAAAGGCACTTGCTGAGAGTTAAGCCACAAAGAAGTTCTCTGTTTCGATGAGCAGCCAGGTTACAGTATTAAAAGAGAACAATGAATATTTAATATTTAAAAAAAATAACCCTGCAGTATAGGTAACAGGATAATTCAATTTTCGTATGAATGCTGCAAAGTACTGAGCGTTAATCCAGTACTTGGGTACGATTAGCATTGTCATCATCCACGGGAGAATTACTCCTACAATGAACAGTTTATGTGAAGTCTGGCAAGCAAACAGGCTAGGGAACATGTCAGTAATGATATACATTTAAGGCTAAAACTGTTGACTTCAGTGGAGTCAGGATTACACGTGACTATATACCATATATTCTTCTACCCTCCCAATCAATAGCATAACACTTTAAAATGTTACTGTTATAAAACATCCAGACCATTTGAATAGGTGAAGGTGACACAGGAGAAACTAAGGGATCAGGATGAGGCAGTTGAAACATCTCTGGCTTAAACTTGGCATTAGCTATCTTCACACATTCTTCAAGTGTTGTAATAAATGTGTTACATGTGGCACTGAGCAAGGAGGAGGCTTCATTCATGTTCTGAAAACAAATGATAGCACAAACATCAGCAACAATGTAAAAAGAGACCGAAAATGTTACTTTAGAATCAACTGGTTTCCCAGTTAACTGGCCAAAATTCTCAAAAAATACAAGTTTGGTGACTATACTTTTTAATGGTAGCTAGAATCAACCTTATTGAAAAATGAACAAACACATATAATAGCAGAAGACTATTTTGGGAGGTTGGGGCAATACAGCAAAACACTGCAATGTTTTTCCTGCTTCCTAAATACAAGGGTCTGAACTTTTAGAAGGATTGAGCAGCCATCACTTCTACTGGAGTCATCAGTTTATTTTCTATTTAGTGAAATAAGTGAATTAGAGTGGGGCCCACCCATTATCTTTCCTAGTGAAAGGAGTCTCTGCATCAAATTCAACCCTGCTGTAAGTGGGCACAATCCTACACTCATCAGTGAAGTGGCCCACCTATTCCAGGGCTGAATTTGGTCATGAAGTAGGATTAGAAGAGCAAATAGATTTCCTATGAATGTCCAAAATCAGTTTGCAGCAGTTTTCAAGACCTGGGATTCTAGTTTGCAAAGGTAAGGGAGGTTCTAGCAATGGCATAGATCACTTACATAGGAAGCAAAGCATAAAGAAACAGGATGTGTCAATTATTGTCTATTGTAGAGTTCTTAGACAGGAGAATTCATGTGCAACCAACCCAGCCAGCTTTGCTTCTGTCTTTTAACTGAATGACTCACCTACATATCTGCTTGTTAATATGCACTCTGATGTCATCGTGCATTGTATCTATATAATATCTTTTAATGTGGACTGTATTACCATACTCCTGAACCCAGTGTATGGGCATCTGAATATAGACAATTTTTAAACGTCTATTAAACTGGCCTTACGTAAATATTTTCCAACATTAAGTTGCTGATAAGGTGCATAAGGTGACAACAAGAATTTAACATGATTTAAATAATCAGATTCTCCAGTATAATTTTAGAAATCTGATACCTCAATGCTGGGAGATGAGCGACTCTCATCATGGTGAACAAATTCTTGTATTGTATGAACTTGCTGCATTAAGAGATCACAGTAGAGGCGAAGTTCGGACATTTTGGTTTTAAGAGATTCATTGGTTTCACTAATTTCTACAAGAAAAATAAAATAATTAAAAAACCCTATCAATCACAGCATAAGACTTATCTGCATAATTTTTACAAACAAACTGAAATTCCTTTCAAGACTAGGAAGGGATTCTTAAATGAGTTGGGAATAGTTTCACAAAGTATATGTAAATTTGGAAGGGACCATGGAGAAAGGTATATAACCAGCAAACAAGAGGTAAAATATTTTCTCATTTACAGTGTCATCCCAGGGAGCACACAATGGACAAAGTCTGTGGCCTCAACAGCTGAAGGAGGTCTGCTCCCCTCTATCCACAAGCACCTGAGGAGAGCGGTTACTCACTCAGGGAACCTTGCAAATGATAAACCTTCAGACTGGCTACAGAGGATTACCAGTCTTTACCAAGAAAAACTAGGGAGGCAGAAATGGGGATTATGGAGAGAAATCAGAACAATGGCAACCAAATGACTCCCTAACAGCTACAACCAGCGTTTTGAGGGTGGCAGATCTAGATTGTTTTAGCCCTTTACGTAACTAAGAGCTCTCCAGCAGCAGGAACAAAATACTATTTTTCCATCATGTTTACTGCAGGTTTTGTGTTAATTTCATATTTCCTATGCTGTATAACCTAGCATTGTAAACAGTGTTAATAAATGCTGTGACAGTTCTCCCAACTGCCTATTTAAAGATGTGCCCGTTCTGTCTTTACAGGCCTTTTCTGCACTACAGAATTACAAGATAACATTCTCACTGGAGCTGAATTCTTGGTATTGCTGAGAGCGGTTTAGTGTATACAAGCCTCCAGTGGCTTCTGGTTTTCTGTTTTGTTTGTTTGACACCATGACAGTTAAATCTGCTGCTCAAGTTTTAACTAACAGAGGTAAAAATGCTGGAAATCACCAGAGCCTTGTCTAAACTACGGCTCCCACTTGTGCTGGTCCAGCTAAAGGAAATATATTCCAAAAATTCTGTAGCACAGACACAACCTAAAGGTGTATAGCCATTATGAACACAGCTGTTCTGATCACATTAGCTGGGCGGACAAGACTGGGCTGAATCACATCCTCTGCTTTTCGAAGTGGAAGGCAGGATAATAAAAGCTGAAACTCATGTAATTTCCTTGTGCTCTTGCAGTGGGTCTGATTTGGTCCAGTGTTTTTTAAGCTTAGACAAAGGACATAAGGAAACCTTTGTGTCATTCCTAGATGAGGCTGGGTGACTGCACTACTGCAGTGCAACTTTGGTTGTCCATTCAGGCTGTCACATGGGCAAGTGCTGAATACACACAGAACCACAGCACAGGGCAGAGAAGCATGTGATTGATTTCTATATTCTTCGTGAGATAAGAATATGATTCATACACAGATGGTTCACCATTGTCTTGGGCAGATTTGAGATTTGGAATACCATTACTACAATGTATGTAAGCAAGTACTATTGCCCAAGTTTATGGCTTGGCTTTTCAAAGGGGCCTAAAGGAGGTAGCCCAGGGACTTCAGTTCAAAATCCCAGTCAACACATCTGCAAGTCAGATAATTGTCAATAAAGGGGCAGATCCTCACCTGGTGCAAACTGACATAGTTTCTTGAAGTCAATGGAGTTAACGCTGACTTACACCAGCTGTGGATCTGACCCTTAGTTTTTAATAGCAACATTTCTATGATTCTGGTAGGGCCAATATCTGGAACAAGACAAATCTGAACATAACATAGAAACCCAAAACAGGGAGTGTAATAAAACTCAGGAGTAGTAAAGTGAAGTCAGAAGCAAGTTGCACATGAGCAATATAAGAAGTGATTTGACCTACCTGATGCCATACATTTACAATATTTTAAATATTTTTCCTTGCTCAGATATATCTTTGCATAGCCAGTCAGACATCTTCCAGTCAGAAGCTGCCAGCGTACTGCAGAGACACTCACTGGGCTAATTAGACTGGCAAAATTCATAATTCTGAGGAGCAATGCCAGCTGGGAGATTTTTAAACTCATCCATTTCACCATGTCTAGTGATACCTTTCGATCAAAGTACTATATTTAATTAAAATGAGCTCATATTTGTACACACACACACGTAAAGGGAATTGGACTACTCAGAGAAATACAGTAACAATAATTCTTCCTTTCTGCTAACTTTAGCGAAGGCTGATCAGTTCTTTTCCTGTTCCCCTTGGAAATTACAATTTAAATATAAACCAGAAGTTATTATATGCACACAACAGGGATTACATCCATAATTAAGATGTATCAATATATTTATCGATATATAAATTAGATTTATATCTTACATAAATAATACTAAATTCAACCACTAGAATGGGACAAATTAAGAACCATCTTAATCAAAAACAATTTTATTAGATTTCATACACTTTTAATGGTACAAATACCTTTTTCTTTTTTTGTTCTGGTGTCTGTCAAACAGGCTTTAGAACTACCCAGTGCTACCAGCCATCTCTGCCTCTCAGCTGCATTAACTGCTTTCATATAAAAATGCTGTTCCCCTGGGATGATTAACTCCATTCTTGTGTTGTCTGTTGGATGAACTAATGATAAAAAGGGAAAAAAGACTAATTTTGCAAAAGATAACTAAACCAGTAAGGATACTAATTATCAAATACAGACCATATTATTTCAAGTTATTTACATATTACAGATTGCATTTGGTAAGAAACGGAAGCTATTCAAAACAATTTTAAACATTGCATGAATTTGATATTCATGAACATAATTGACTAAGTAATGGCTAGAGCCAGACACAGTGTGGACAGACACTGTGCAAAATTCCCTCAAAACACTGCCAAAACATTCCTCGCCCGAAATACCACTGTTAGTCTAGTCCTGATTCAATCATGCCAACCTGAAGATTTTTGTGATGTGGGCAAATATCTCTGAAGGACTAGCCTAAAATCAATCTCACTTTCCTTTCTGATGCAACTTTCTGGGCTCTGTGTCAAAGTCACCATCCTCCCAAGCATGAGAACAGAATATTACTCCACTTAGAGCCATCGTATTCAATACTACAACTTTAATCAGCCACAGATGTCACAAAGTACCAGGCATATTTCTCAACCACAGTACTCCCAGGTCTAGGACTGGACAGCCCTGGGTACATGACAGATGGAATTAATCCCAAATTACTGGCATCTATCTATTACTGTTCCTCCATACTATAGAAAATGAACAAGCAGACAAGAAAGGGGGACTGAATGTTTCAAGAGATTAGTAATGAGACATAAGCCTTTCACTCCTAGGTCACTGGTTTCAACCTAGGCACTGGCAGTAGTAACCAAAAGTTGTTGCCATCCGATAACTGCTTGCTGGCCTACGTAAGAGAAGTAGATGGACTCGGTCCATTTTCTAGTGGTCAGGTATCCACATCACAAATACCTCCACAAAGGTGCATCAGAAAAAAAGGCCAAAGGCAGAAAGTAATGGAAGTAATGGCACCCACCAGATCACTGCTGTGGCTTTCCCAGCAAACAATTCCTAACATTCAGCATTACCTCCCTCTGAGTTTGGGAGGGAGAAGAGCTGTAGCTATGGTAACAGCTTCAAATGCCTTCATTTATGATATTTCCAATGTAAGACATAAACAGAAAAGTTCTTAATACCCTAGGGTTTATATGGCTGTTTTTAAACCTCATAAAGGAGCAGTAAATATCATAACCTTTTTCATTATTATTTTGCTTCAGAGTTCATGTTCAGTAACTAATTGGGGTTGATGTAGCAAGCACGTCTGACTAAACATGTCTAGATGTGATTTTTCCCCTTACCTTTTTTAAGCATCCTAGAAATTAATGATGCAAAAGTGGTATTAGGTCATCTTGTTCATCCCCTTGCCAATTAAAATTTCCTTTAATAAAAACTTATTTAAATCTTACCTTTAATTTCACATACTGCCATCTTTATACTTCCTTTACTGCCTTTGCAAACATCATCCTGTGAATCATAGTAGGACAATATTCCATTGTCTAAAACAAACCAGCGAGGCTGCCAACCTAGGAAGACCATAAATATGAGAGAAAAGTGTTATACTAACTGTTTAATTGCAAATGCAAGTTCAATCAAAAGTAAAGCTGTTTGTCTGTTAAACCATTGAGAGAAAAAGGATTTACACAGATGCAAATACTACTGTGATGTTCACAGGAAATAAAAGAAGCATCTTTGTTTTGAAGATCAGATGTGCTGTATACACAAACTATTATAAAGATATTTTACACTAACTCTTTTTGCAATATTTCATTAGCAATAATATTCCCATTTACATTATCTCCCAGTTTACAGAATAATGATATTTTTAATTTAACTGCCAAAAGTATCCTATTTTGAAGTCTTGTAAATCACAGACTTCTTGAGGACCATCATCTTTCAAGTATATTCCTCAGTGGGCCTCAATAAGATTAAGATCAACTACATAATGAACCATTAGGCTACAGTATCTGCTCCCTACAGTACTACACACTCTATTTCACACTTCCTAATCTATAGATCCCGCACACTCTCTCTCTCTCTCTCACACACACACACCCTCTCATGCACAAACACAAAAAAAGGTGGTTTCTACCCCATTGCTCAAAAATGATTTAATATCAGAACACTATAATGGAGTCATCTACTACTAAGACCTTGTCTATACTAGAAAGGGTTTGCCAGCATGGCTATACTAGCAAGCCTTCCTAGTGGAGACGCAGCTTATATTAGCAAAAAAAAAAAAAAAGAAAGAAAGAGAGTTCTTTTGTTGGCATAGTTTATACCAGTTCCATGAATGAAAAAGACACACTGGCAAAGGGACTTTTTTGCTGGTATAACTGCATTTACACTAAGGCTTTTGCCAGCACAATGACCTTGGTTAGGGAGTTTACTTCTTTCATGCTACTAACCAACGTAGGTATGCTTGCAAAACTTTTACATGTAGACCAGGTCTCTAACTTCACTACTTCTGCAAAATATATTACAGTACTTATATGCACTAGTACACTATGAAGTGTTATCCTAATATTTAGGGCAAAACTAGAGTTATCAAATACATAAATTATATGCAGATACAGCATACTTGATTTTATTAAAGCTCTTTTTATAGGCTAACTTGCCAATACATAAAACTCTGTACTTCACAATAGATATCCCAGTCATTAGTGCTAATTAACATAACTCACTCTACTAAACTGGCCCATTTCAAACTATGTCAAAAACAGCAGATATTTTGTAAAGAACTGAAAACAAAATAATAAGTCAGTGTAGCACAACAAGAACACCAGTTCAACAGAGGATTGGGACTGGGGAACCAGGTAGTAGGAAAAGGTGATGCACTCTGTCTCATAGTGCTAGCACCATCTTATCAGTCTACTAAATAGCCACTTTCTGGTTATCTATGAATTAGAATGGCACTGACTGTGGTGCCATGAACCTACTGACCTAAAGGACAGTGCAGTGCACAGCATGGATGGCTGCATTATTCCACAAGAGCAAACTGAAGCAATCCAATAGCAGTGGCTTTGAAGGGAGGAAGCTGAATCATATACTGGCAAGCTTCAGCTAGAGGTCTGATCCTTAGAGCCCTGCACAGATACAAAAATGTCTGCAGATATCTGCAGATTTGCAGGGCTCTACTTACCGTGGCAGGGCTGAGGCTTCAAGGCACCCCCATGCGGACCCTCCACCTGCCCTCGAAGTGGCAGGGAGCCTGGGGAGCAGGGACACGGCCGGGGCTGCTCTCAAACACACACCCCGGGCAGGTGAAGGGTCTGCGCCGCGGCTCCTCATAGCTGGCTGCCCAGCTCTTACTGTCAGAGCCCTGCGCGGATACAAAATTTGTATTTGCACCCATGCTGCTATCCGCAAAAATGGTCCATGGATATAAAGTGGATACCTGTGGATTTGCAGGGCTCTACTGATCCTGCTCCCATTAAAGTCATTATGAGTTTTATCATTGACTCAATGGGAGCAGAAGCAGGCCCCGGTGCTGGGTGCCACATCTTCTGGACAGGGAAAGAAGAATGTGTACCAGAATCTTTATGATATGGTCTGCACTAAGGCTTTTGCTAGCACATCTACGTTGGTTTAATTTTTTCCCCCAACATAGAAATGTTGGCAAAACTTTTACGTATAGACCAAGCCTCTGACTTCAATACTTCTACAAAATATACTACTGTACTTATATGCACTAGTATACTATGAAGTGTTATCCTAAATATTCAGGGCTAAACTACAGTTATCAAATAAATAAACAAAATACATGTACATACATGCTTGATTTTATATCTTTAGGATGTTCTGAATCTCATCCACCCATCGCTGTACTGTGAGCTAAATAGGTCTGACAGCTGAAGAAAATAAATAAATAAACAAACAACCTAAAATGCAGTATTGAATACTAGGAGAAGGATACCAGTAGCAACAGATTTAGAATTACAGAGGCACATCATTATGTACATTAAAAAGACAGAAATTACAGTCAAACATGACTACTTTTTAAACAGAATGACAGAATTGGTGGAGGAAAAAAATGCAATAGATGCAGCATCTAGATTTTAGTAAAAGCACTTGGTAGCATCTCCCAAAAAACACTGCCATTTAGACTTGAAAACCAACGGAAAGAACTAAATAAACTGCAGTGCACGTGTCAACTTTGGAGGAAGATGTTTGTAATGGGGTACTGCAGAAGCTGGTGATAGGTCTAGTTATATTTAATATCTTCATTAAAGATACTGATGAAGTGGGCGAGATTATCATGACAGGAAGGGGCAGCAAACAGCAGTGAGAACAATTAATAACTCAAAGGATTCTAGACAGGTTACAAATATAGAAAGGAAATAATAAATGAAATTCAGCCAGGAATAACAAAAGTAAATACATCAGGAAACAAATAATCCATAACATAGACATTCTATAGGAAGGAGAAACTTGGCAAACATTAACCCTGAGAGAGACTTACAGCTAAGGGATATCATTGTGTTATTATTATTTACAACTTTAACATAGTACTCAAAAGAGTAGATCTCACAGTACAAATAAACACACATGATCACTTCCCCTCCAAAAATTTACAATCTAATGTCAGACACCAGCAGAATTAAGGGGGCCACAACAGGGAGGAGATAGGAGCAGAAGGGCAGGGTTAATAGCAATAAGATTGCCTGGCTACTCAGCAAAAGGGACATGAAACGCCTGGTGGGGAACTTTGTTTATTTTTGATACATTAATTAGAAAAGTTTGCAATGCAGGATGGCAGCAAAAAGGGCCAAAGTAATCTTAAGTGGCATTTGTAGAAGGCAGGAAGGCAATAATCCTCTATACAAGTGTGGCAAGACCACACCTGGAATACTGCAGAGGGCATTAGGAGGCCAGCAACAAGAATGGTTTTGGGGCTAAAAGGAATTGACTTGAACAAAGACTGAAAGAGCTAAATACGGACAGCTTGGCTAAATGCTGGATTTAAGAGACTTCTATTAAAATTTAACTTTTAAAATTACCGACATTATTGGCACCTTTTAAAACATGATCTTATTCTCTCCCTGACTTGTTGCACAGGCACAGGACATTTTGGTGTACAGCCTATCCCAGGACTCCTGGGTCAAGGCTTGCAATTGACAGTAGCAGCAGGGATTCGGGACAACAGCCCAAACAATCAGGAAGAACAACAATTAGACTCATTATAGCCTGGCCAATTTGTGGTATGTCTATTTGATGCACTGTAGCATAGTGGGAGCATGCTTGACAAACCTGAGATCATCCCAACTCGCAGATGAAATGCACGTATCCTCATAGGTGACAGCAAGAGACAGCATGAAGAAACAATGGTCCCAGATCTGTGTTACTCCATTTCTGTGTTTAGCACAGGAATGATAGTAGGGAGGTGCAAAGATAACGTTACCCCATCTTGATGTCTACTTCATACTGGGATTGTTCAGGGACCATTTGGGGCCTGGTTCGGTCCCCTCTGGAGTAAGCTAGAGCAGTCTCAGTGGTGCTCTACCTTACACTCTATTTCTCTTGGCCCTTTATATGCTGCAGGGAACAAAGAATAGATGCACCTGCTCCTTCCTTCATAATGCAAACTACACTGAGAGATGGGAAGAGGGCATTGTAGAGCTGCTCTGACACCTCTTTGCCAGCTGGCTTACAATCCCCCCCCTTACACTGGGGGTATTCCTCTGATGTCATTTATACCTGTCACATTCTGGGGTGCAACCTAGAACATCTACCCTGCAACCCTGGGTACCTGACAATGATTGGTTGTTGTAGCTCCCAACCCGGTCTGCTCACAAACAGCATGGAAGTCACACCCTGAGTGTCTGTGTATAGCTGCAGCCCTGGTCCAGCAACTCTGACCCCAGCAGTCTGTCAGCAACACACCAGCCACATTCTAGCTTCCAGCAGCCTTAGTTACTACTCACAGGGTGACACCAACACACTCCCAGTCCCTAATTTTCCCCAAAACATGCATTCTGCACTGTCCAACCTTCTCCTGGACAGTTCTGATATTATAGGTCCATTGCCCGTTAGGGTTGCCAACTTTCTAATCGCACTAAACCAAACACCCTAAACCCGCCCCTTCCTTAGGCCATGCCCCTGCCCCACCCTTTCCACAAGGCCCTGCCCCCTGCTCACTACACTTCCCCACCCTCACTCACTTTCACTGGGCTGGGGTATGGGGGTTGGGTGCGGGAGGGGGTGAGGGTGAGGGCTCTAACTGGGGATGTGGGCTCAGGGTGGGGCCAGAAATGAGGGGTTCAGGGCATGAGAGGGGGCTCTGGGCAGGGGTGCAGGCTCCAGCTGGGGGTGCAGGCTCGAAAGTGGGGCCAGGTTTGAGGGGTTTCGGGTTCAGGAGGGGGGTCCAGGCTGGGGGGTGGAGCACAGTGGTTCAGGGTGTGGGAGGGGGCTCTGGGCTGGGGGTTGGGTCTGGGGGTTGGGGGGGTGAGGGCTCCATCTGGGGGTAAAGGCTCTGGGGTGGGGATGAGGGGTTTGGGGTGCAGGAAGAGGCTCTCCGTTTGGGGGG